TACAATTTGTCAATCTTGCCAAATTTCTGGGAAGGGCTCCCACACCAGCACAGTGTTACCTAGAACTGTGGAGGCAGCTGAGAGGGCAGCAGATGGATGGAAAGAGCAGCCCAGACGAGGTGGAAGAGGATCCTCCTCTGCAGACTGCTAAAGCCAGTGACCACTGATGAAGTAATGTGTACAGCTCCACAGAAAGGAACTTTCTGACTTTTAGATAGGTAATAGACCCTTTGCTTTCCCCTAAACCCAGGGTGGGGCTCAGGGGATGGGAGAGGAATGAGCATTCTTGTGGGAAGGGGGATAATTCAGTAACTGCTGCCTAAGATGTAATTGCCTTAGTAAAGAAGAGAGCTCATTTCTTGTCAAACACTATTTTATTTTTGTAATGAGAACACATTTAAAATCAGGATTTTCAAATTGCCTCATTTCTGACTTAGTAACAAAATAATGCTTATGTTGCATTAGCATGCATTGCATTAACATGCAATTTGGCATGTATCTCAAACCTAAGGTCTAGTGAATGTTTTCTGTTTGGCCTGTATTTTTCCTGTTAATCTCCAGCATAATGGAGTATTTCACTAGAACAGAAGGATTTAGGTGGAATTAAAGTTTTCTGATTTAAACCAAAAGTTTTATCCTTAAATTTATAAATTAATCTTTTAAACAAATTTAATTATTTAAAGTAGTTAAATAGAAAGACAATAGTATGTCTTAACCATTCTAATGCTAAGAGTTTCCTTATGTACCAATGAAAGTTAGTTTACATGAAGAAGGTGGATCCAGCTATGTGAAACAGAAAGAAGCTCATGGTACAAAAGATTTTGGAACTGTTCTGGCACAGCACATCCATCCAAGTAACATGTGGAAGTGCCTTTTTTTTCTTAAAGAATAAATACATACATCGATTTCCAAATATTATAAAATTTGAGCTGTGTTAAGTGATTCTATATTGCTAAGCCAAATCAGTGTAGTATTGATGAAATGATTTGTACATTGTTACAGTATTCTTGTATATGTGATGTAGATTTAAAAATAAAAAGTGAGGCATGCTATGCTGGCATTTGGGAGAAGAAAGGATGTATGGCAAAATTTAGGAAAGAGCAATTTGTCAGGGCAAACCACTGAACTCAGTATGGGGATGCTTGGATATTTTGTTAATTCTTTGAAGCATATGCCTGAATTATTTTGGATGGAACACTTCTCTCTCCGGGTCTTGGCCCTTCTTCTGTTTGCTTTCACTGCTGCTTGGGGTTTTTTTGTGTGCCAGAGAGTCTGGACCTCTTAAAAAGGTCAGAGACAGTTTGAATTTCTTCCTTACCGGTCTCTGGCTGGTGTAGGATTTCCAAGCTGCAGACAGCAATATCAGGACTGTTGGACAATTCTTGACTTAAAAAAAAATTGGCAGATTAGAAAAGATGAGGGGAAAAAAAAATGATTAAAGTTTCCTACTCATGTTTATAAAAATGTGAATTAGGCTTTGCTTGTTTCAGGGGAGTTTATTATTGCAAGAATACTTCTTTCTACAGTGCTGTAATGAGTAGGCAAGAGGGTGGCCTCCTGAAATTCAGGGTGATTTGATTGAGAAGCTTAACAGTTTATTGACCTGTATTTCTGGTAGTGCTCTTTCTGGATCATGAGAGGGACAGAAAAAGAGACAAAGTCCTTAGTAGCCTGTGTGCACTCAAGGGCTAGATTAGATCCAGGTTTTGTGGTGCCTCTGGATCTGATTGCGGAGTGGCATGAAAACAAGACCAGCAATGTGAAAAAACAAAGCAGCGTATCCTAGACATCTTTTGCAAACCTTGATGAAAACACCCTTGAAAATGCTGTCAAGCTGTTTGATTTTTCCTATGCTGAAACTTGAGTTCCTAGAAGAAAAATGGCTTTTTTCATAGAATCATAGAATGGTTTAGGTGGGAAGGGACCTTAAAGATCATTTAGTTCCAACCCCTCTGCCATGGACAGGGACACCTTCCACTAGACCAAGTTGCCCAAGGCCACGTCCAGCCTGGCCTTGAACGCTTCCAGGGATGGGGCCTCCACAACTTCTCTGGGCAACCTGTTCCAGTGCCTCACCACCCTCATAGTGAAAAATTTCTTCCTAATGTCTATTCTAAATCTACCATCTTTTAGTTTGAAGCCATTACCCCTCATCCTATCACTACATTTCCTGATAAAGAGTCCCCCACAGTGTCAAGTGCTTTGTATGAGTCCAGGTAGATGATTTCAGTTGCCAAGTTTTCACCTTCATTCCTCAGAATGTGTTAAGTTCTGATTCCCCGAGACTGAAAAAAGTAACTTTGTTCAGACGTGACATCAAGGTGGATTACTTTAGACTTCGACGGTGGCTGGAAAACTAATAAGCTATGTTCTTGATTTTTTTGCAGCTGTTCTGTATAGATATATTTTTATATATACACACTATATTTTATATGTTACATGTTATATATTTCATCAGAATGTCTGATAAGTATATCTGCATAGACTTGATTATTGTAAAAGTTCTCATTTGTTATTATCTGAATGCTCAGGCACCTCCTTAAGCACTGTTCCTGTTTTCTGTTTGTAACGCATTGGTTTATGATAGAAGGAATTCTGTGTGTCTGAGGTGCTGGCTGCTGTCTCTCCAAACAGCAAAGTTCAAACCTTTTATTTGGATACCCATATTCACAACTGTGGTGGAGTAAGGAATTTTTTCTCTAGAATTCTTTATGCCGCTATGTGCACTGGGATTTATGTGGATGTTGTAGTGGTGTAGTAGTTATGGATATTGGTTCTGTCTTAGCAGTTCTGGCGTAGGATTTAGGCCATTTAAGGACCTAGTTAAAACTTTTGTGTATACCAGTCAAGTTAACTGTTGAGTCTCTCCTTTTGGTACTAATGAATGCAAAGTTTGAACTTAGAAGCCTGTTCCAACCACTGAAATGTTGCATAGCTCACTTATGGTTGTATACAATAGCAGGCACATTGATGGGGAAATGTGTTTGCTTCATTAGTTGCCAGCATCTGGACCACTAACTTAATATGCTGTGGTTTTCCATCTCTTGAAGGACAAAATGAACTGTCTTAATATAACTAGAAACCGAGTTGATGGTGAGAGTGAAATGTTCTGAAATCATCATTGGGAAGCACTGCATAACAATTTGCTGAGCATCCAGCTGAATTATCGACATAAGTTCTCCATGACCTCAGCCACTTGCTCAGCGTTACAGCCTTTTGGGAAAAGGGAGAAAAATATGAAAACATTTCAGTTCTTCAAATTTTGCTGAATTGTAATACTTTGTTGTCACTGAGTTGCATTAAATGATCCACATGTGGTTTAAATAAGCAGCCAAAGCAGTGTACAAACACACAGTTGTATCTGAACTGAGTGGCTGTTACTCCTTCTGTGGTTTGGAGTAAGGACTTGAGATCTACGAGGAATTCTCAAGAGTGTTCCTTCGATTGGAACGCTTCTAAAATCCAGCTAAACAAAGTTATCAGCCTCCAAAATTCAGAACTCTTGTATGGTTCTACTTGGTCCTTCCACTGCTGTGGTGCAGATGATAGCATTTGCAGAAAGGTAGATGTCACTGTGCCTGTCTGGCAAGTAGGAACTGTAATTTTGTCTGTAGTATGGAGAATTGTAATTCAGGAGGATAGGAAAAGCATTAATTGTCCTTTCTCACAGGTTGCTTGCATGTTTGTTATCTGGGGAATGACTAAGGGCTTAATTCTGCCTTCACATATCAATTGTAATCTCCCTGAAATTAGTGTAGTGGCTTTCAAAGGAAAACTACCAGTTGGTGTAAGATTAAGGGACAAAATTAAGAACAAATAAATCTAAGCAAAGAACTGGATTATTTGTACTTCTGTTTGTTTAATTATTAACACTACAAAGGGGTGTTTGTGGTGTTTCAGTATGGATCTCAGTTAGAAGCCTCTGATAGCACCTGGAATGGCACATCATTTTAATTGGATAGCAGAAAAAAACCCTGCTTTTATTAAAGATGGCTGTTTTTACTGGGGCACACTGGCAACCTGCAGAGATGGAAAAGTTCTGTCACCTTATTCAGTTAGTGGGAGATCAGTGCGAGATCTGCAATGGTTCGACAGCTTTTGGGGAATAATTATCTGTTACATCCTTCATCCTTTTTGTTACAAAAGGAACTTTCAGTGGTCATTAAGCAGCTTAGGTTAATTTATATGGTCGCTTTAATATTTTGCCTTTTGAAAAGCTGTAGAGTTTATAAATCTGGTCATACTGCTTGCATGTACTATACTGTTTGTATTTGCCAGAATATTTGTTTATATCCAGGTTGACAGTGGTACTTGGTCATAGCACTGATTAGTTGTCATTCAAGAATGTCGCTCTGGGGGAAGCGGGAGCTGCCTTTTGGAGTAGAGAGTAAACTTCTCCCCTCTCCTCCACCAAATTGTGTCTTTAGGAAAAATGAATATAGTCAAAGCATGAGTTTAGGTGTATAGCAAACCTCTTAGAACCTGGACAAGCCTGTGAGATTACACTGTGAAAGATGTAAGGTTTTTACAGCTGTATGTTATTCAAGGAAGTAAGCAAACACCAGTAGATGCTGCAGGCCTACTCTTCAAATTAGGTTTTTTAAGGAAGATATTTCCATCATCACTCTTCCACCCTGTTGAAATAATATGTGTTCCTGAGTTAGCAGAAAGGAGACATGCCTCAAGGGCAGTAAATGCAGTAAGTTCAGATGACAGGATGTGAATTTCTAGAAAAGACTAAAGGAAAGGCCCATTTCAGGCTATACTCAATCTAGCCAATAAAATTTCATGTGTGCTTAATCTATATGGTATGTCTTTGTGCAATAGAAGAGTTGAAGAAAGTTGCTTTTGAATTACACATCCTGAAAGTATCGATCTTTAAGGCTAAGACTGTGTGTGCTTTGAATTTTAATGTTCCTCTCCTTTCTTTCCAGCTGGAATGCATGCTGCTTTCTCTACAGGACTATAAGCTTTGATATTCAGAAGAGCAAAACTGAAAGATGCCGTCTGAGAGGTGCCTGAGGTATAGTACTTGGTAGCACATATGAAGTCATTCACGTTTAGGATGATGTTTGCCAAAGTATCAGTCAACAGATGGTAGAAAAGTCAAATTAATACTTTTGTTCATTATTTATTAATATTATTTATTAAAATATCCATGTTATAATCTGAAAAATGTTGCTTTCTTGTTGCCACTTATCATAGAATCATAGAATTGTTTAGGTTGGAAAAGACCTCTAAGATCATCGAGTCCAACCCCACCACTAAACCATGTCCCTAAGCACCACATCTACCTGTCTTTTAAATACTTGCAGGGATGGTGACTCAACCGCTTTCCTGGGCAGCCTGTTCCAATGCTTGATAACCCTTTCTGTGAAGAAATTTTCCCTAATATCCAATCTTAACCTCTCCTGGTGCAACCTGAGGCCATTTCCTCTTGTCCTGTCATTTGTTACTTGGGAGAAGAGATCAACCCCCACCTCGCTACAACCTCCTTTCAGGTAGTTGTAGAGAGCTCCCCTGAGCCTCCTTTTCTCCAGGCTAAACAACCCCAGTTCCCTCAGCTGCTCTTTATGAGATTTATCCTCTAGACCCCTCACCAGCTTTGTTGCCCTTCTCTGGATACTCTCCAACACCTCCATGTCTTTCTTGCAGTGAGGGGCCCAAACCTGAACACAGTATTTGAGGTGGGGCTTCACCAGTGCTGAGTACAGTGGGACAATCACTTCCGTAGTCCTGCTGGCCACAGTATTTCTGATACAAGCCAGGATGCTATTGGCCTTCTTGGCCATCTGGGCACACTGCTGGCTCATAGTCAGCTGGCTGTTGACCCACATCCCCAGGTACTTTTCTGCCATGCAGCTTTCCAGCCACTTTTCCCCCAAGCCTGTAGTGTTGTGCAGGGTTGTTGTGACCCAAGTGTAGGACTGCAGGTAAATGATGGAAAATGGCTTGGTGAGCACTTCCGCCAGCTCCCTCAGTACCCTGAGGATGCTAGTACATCTCTAGTGAAGAGAAGCATGCCTGGGATTGATTTGGGTCCCACGGTCTTTTCATATGTTACCTTTTTTATGCCTTTGTCTATACTTGAAATTTTTGATTGTGGAAGCAACTGGCATTTTACAGTCATGCCTCTGAATTGGTGGCTGGTGATCATTTTTGGTGTGCGTAGTGTTCCGCTGTTCAGGACATATATTACTCTTCCAGTTCTCTGAAATGGCTTCAAAGCGTTCCCTCCAAATTCATCTTCCTGCCTTCCAGAATCTCCCATTCTGTCTCTTTCCCCCGTATAGAGTCTTAACGTTCTATATATACTTGCCAGTCTAGCTTTTCTCATTTATTTGTATTGCCCATTGTCTCATCAGTGAATTAGATATTTATAATTTAATTAGCTTCTGGGAGCACTTTGAGGCAGAACACTCAGAATTTATTAACCTAGTTGCTTTCTGCAGAACCTTGCGCTAGTCTGATAGTAGTTGTTCTGTTTTACAGAGTAGTTAACACTCATGGGCTGATCTGATAGCTCAGAGATCTACCTGATATTCCTGGGGCATCATATCATTCCAGTTCTGTTCCCCTTTCCCTGCCATGCTTCTGCAACAGAAGAGAATCAGGAATTCCTTGCATTTTATACCTGTTGAGTATATTAACTGACAGTATCACTACAAAGTGGCTGCATTATGTTTGATGAATCGGTGCTTTTTCATTCATAAATGCCAGTTAAATTGCCTTGCATGTGTATACACTCTTCATATATTGTTAACACAAGAGTTACAGGCAATTGATTTTTCACTTTGATCATTGACTTGAAAAAAGGATTATGCCAGAGCTCAGTTTAAAACCACAGTTCCCTTATTTTATGTATATATATGAAAAAAAATATTTTGTTTGTTTATATAAAAATAATTCCCCACAAAAATTACCCTTGTGCCTTGTCCCTCCAATCTGTTTTCTGTTGAGTGTAATAGTACTTTTCCTGTGGAAAATCACCTCTGGATGATTGTGAGAAAAGCAAAAGGAATGAAGGGCTTGGTTCACAACATTGGGAGGGAGGCTAATAAAAACAGAAATCAGAACAGTTGAGGTTTTAAAATTTGAATATATAATCAGGTTTCATAATACTTTGTTATACTGGGTTTTTTTATGTTATCCATACCATATAAAGATTTTTGCCTGACTGGGTTCGTGATTTTTCTTTCCAAGAATTATCAATCTTCCTTGCCTGACTGGGTTCGTGATTTTTTTTTTTTCTTTCCAAGAATTATCAATCTTGTCTTAGAAAAAGTATATTTCTGACAAAATCTGCTTGTTTCCTACATTTTTTGGACAAAATCTTTCCCCTTTACCCTCTCAGTGTTCAGGAAATGCTGACAGGTCAGAGGCTTTGTCAGTCCAGCTCCCATAACGATGCTGTCCTGGCAGCCCTGAACCAACAAAGAAGTGATGGCATACTTTGCGATATCACCCTTATTGCTGAAGAGCAGAAATTCCGTGCACATAAGGCAGTCCTGGCAGCATGCAGTGACTACTTCCGTGTAAGTCCAAAGATTTTTTTCTTTTCTTATAATAATATTAAAAGTTACTTGGGGGTGGGGGATGGTTATAGATATACTGAACAAGCTTTAAATTTGAGCTTATAGAAAATTCATGATTATTGCACATTCAGTAGAGTATGCAACACTAAATATCCACATACCTGTCCTAGGAAAGAAATGTTAAGAACGTAATTAATTTTTTATCATTATTTATGATTAGTTTTCCCCACCTTCCCAATAGAGATAGGCAGTACACCTCTTTCTATGAATCTTATGCCCAAGTAAAGTCAGAAAGTGGAAGATTTTTCTTGTAGAACCCAGACATTTGAGACAGTTGTGATTAGAGCATGGAAGGATGGGGAGAGGAAATTTAAATATTAATAAATGCAATTTAAGTCATCTTGAGAGTGGGTATAAATGGTTACTCTCAAAGGGGAGGCCATAGTAATTTTTAAAGCATAATGAAACTTATTTTCGAAAACAAGTGTTTCTGGAATGTAAAGATTAAAATATTCTCTGGGAAATCTAATTCAGACACTCAGTTTGGAAAATTGAACCCAGGTGCTAAAATTGGAGTAAATGAAAAATTGAGTTTTCTAACAGGAAGAACATTCTTCATATGAAGCAGTTCTACTAACCTTCATTATAATTTACCCGTTCAAAATGTTGGACTGTTTGTAGCTCTTTAGTTGACTGGTGTTTTTAAGTGTGAGTCATCCTGTTGTTATTCAGAGACTAAAGCTGAAATTAATTTGAAGGTCGGTTTTCTCGAACAAAGGAAGTTAATTTAATATTTTACCTATGCCGTAATTGTAGTTCTACGAACTTCTTTATGGTGACCTTTTTGTTTTGTTACAGTAGTAATAGAGTGAATGACAACTGTTCTTAATTACTTGAGCAGAATTTTTATCATCCTGCCAACTCTGTCTCTCTCTTTTGGTTGGAATTGAGACTTAATTTATTCTATGTATTTAAGAAATATTATTAACCTTGATGTTACTTTCACTGTGATGATGTTGAGCCAATTGATTGCTCATTTTTTTGAGCTTGTCTGTATGCTTATGTGTGCTGCTGCTGCAGACTTTGTACTGCCGTAGCTGCTAATGTTGCTTTGTCATGGTGTCCTGGCCTGCTATAACAGAGATTGCTTGCCACTTTTTTCCTTTTACCCCAGTGCATAGAGAGGGATTTTGGAGCTCTCTAGCTCTAGCAAGTACTATATATACTTGTTGATGATAGATATACTGCAGGGCTGCTGTTCTTGTTTGACAGAAATATTTTAATAAGGGTGCCGTATCATTCCTCTGCACCTGTGACATACATTCCTTCCAGAGCTCATTGTACCCTGTATAGAAACATCACTGAGTGGGCAGCTGTACCCGGTGTTCAAGCAGTGTGGTAGGAACAGCTTCTACCTTGGTCACTTATTGACTGACCTTGAGATTTGGGGCACTGTGACTCACCCTGTTATTTCCAATTGAGTTGCTTGGTATTTGCTGGACAGTTATTGCAAATTAAAATCTTAATGCCCTACGGAAAAGAAAAAAAGCAGTTTTACAATAGGTCAAATTGCTAATTGTGTAAATCTTTTCTATGAAAAAAAACACTGAGACAGTGATCTATGCAGCATTTAGTAACTTTGCCTACCTCAAAATTTTTATAATTTGGTAGGACATGTACTTCAGACTTTAAGTGTCTGCTATAAATATGGAACTTGTGCTTTCTGAAATCAGCCAAACAGTTTCTATTATTAATGGACAAAAATGTTATAAAATTATGAAATGAGATTTATGTTTTGTAGGAAGATGGCAAAAAAGTTACTATACACTATGTTCCCAATTCTAAAAATTTAGAAAAAGAAAGAGTTAATTAAAAAGTAATAATGTTTTGTATTTAAACTGGGATTATTAATGTTTTTATATCTAGGGGGATTTTTGCCTAATTAGAGCTACCTAAGTATGTATTTTCTGAGATTTAGGAGGATGACACCAAGCTTCATCCAAAGTCAGTGAAGAGAAACAGGCATTTACAGAGGATGATAAAGGAGGATAGAAGATTTATTTAGAATGAAATGAATGACCATCTGGAAGTGCCAGATCTCTCTTCACTGGTCATAAAGATGAGACTCACATGCTTCAAACTTAGCTGTTAATATTACATAACGTGATTTTTACCCTTAGTTTTTCCTGGAGGAATTCTTGGACAAACCTTGCAGGTCTTCTAACCCTGAAGTCATCTATGAAGAAGTCATTGCCATGGGAAACTTACCTTTCACTAATTTTTGTGACGTGTAAGCGCAGGACTGCAGCGGACTGGATTCTGGAAACATCAGATGTTGGAGTTGCCTTGAATAAAACTGAGGTGACAACACTATACATCAGTGTGACACAAAGAACTCGCCTACCATAGCTTCTGGTTTCTATGGCTCATACATTTGATTAATATATCAGCCTGCCTTCAGCTCTATCTAGAGAGACTGTCATCTAATTCTTACAATCTCACAGATTACTCCAGAAATATGTTTAATTCTACACAGGGCTCTTTCAGAATGAATCAGCATGATTTTTTTTTTTTTTTTTGCTTTTTCTCTCTTTTGTTACTCCTGTAAAACGGCTTGTACAAGAGACTGCGTATTTGCTTTCTACAGAGCCCTTTTACAGTTTTCTACATATTCTGTGTCTGCTTTGATTTAGATGGACCTACTTCTGAAATTGTGGTGTTTTCTTGATGAGAAGAACAAGTCATATTTTTTTCAAATTGCCACTTATTTCTTTCTTTTACTGCAAAGAAAAGTTTGTTATCACTTTAGAAGGATAACTAAAGGTGTGTCATGTTATAGACTGAGCGAATTGGAGCCATCGTATGTGGAAGAGTGGAGAAGGTCAAACAGAGGTTGCCTTATCAATTTTTCTTTGAGGCTGTAGTCTGGAGTAAAATCTTCATTTGTTTTTCTAAGACAAGCCAGAGATCTGAGCTTCAGCAAAACAATATGGGCCAGCCTTCTAGGGTAACAGCCTGCCATCCCTTCTTCCAGTTGGAATAGTTAGTCTTGTAGTTCCAGCTGTGCTGAAAGATTTGAATTGAAATGGTAAGCGTAGCACCTGATTTGGCAGTTTGTTAAATTTGTACACCAAAATGTTGTGGTTTTTTCTTTAAGAAAAAATCACTCAGGAAACAGCTCAGAAAGACTGCATTAAAAATACGGACTTAAATTGCAAGATTAGACAGTTGAAAATTAGAGTTTTCAATTTGTTTTCTGCTCAGTGTCTCCTGAAGGACCTCTTCTTTCAAAATGAGCTAGGAAATACAGTAGTCAGTTCCATTCTCTAAAAGGCTCATAAAAAGAATAGTAAACCGATGTATTTTTATGAATTCTTTTTAAAGCAACAGCATTTTCAGCAAACTTTTCCATATGACATGCTGTAATTTGCTGTTTGTCTCAGCCTATTGCAGTGAGACAAGGTGGTTGAGTTAGTGATTATGTGTGCATTGTGATAGCTCTAGCAAGCTAAGTGATTTCCAATTATAAGATTCTTTTTCTTTTCTATTTTTCCCCTCTGGGAGCAAAATGAAATGTTACTGCATGACTTCATTAGTAGGCATTTACAGTGTTGGCAGGTGATTATGTAACCTCAAGATTTTCTTGTACAGAATGCATTGGTTTTCCAGTCTGAACAACTCCTTTCTTATTTTTCATTTGAGTGGGTTCATAGTCACAGGACTTTGATCTTCCTCAAAAAGGTGCAGATTTTCCAAGTAATGTGGATGAACAAAATTATATCAATTAACTAGAATAGATTTTAAAATGTCAATAATATTCTAATCTTTTCCACAAGGAGCATGTTTAATTCTTAGAAGAATCTTTCTTCTCTAAAATGAACTAGTAGATACTAATTTTGCATACATACTTTGTACCTATAACTGTCACAGTTGATTCTTAAGCGGTTTATTTTCAGTGTTTTTCTGTCCTGTCTTTCCTCCCTGTCAACAGATAATTTCTTTGTGTGTACCCAACATTGCTGATTGCTTGTATTTTGCAATATATTGCATTGTTTCTTGATAGGGTTAGAGAATTATTTTTTATAAACAAATCCCTGAGGTATGAAAGACTGTATGATGCAAATAGCTTTTGAGGTCTTGTTACATGAAACATAAAGAGGAAAAGGCTCTCCCTAACACATCTTAGGGATAGATTTAAGGACCTAGTTTAGAGAAATCAGAATTACCTGCTGCTTTTGCAGCATAACGTGCTTTTGGTTTTCAGTGTTTTACCATTGATGTGCGTGTACCAAACAAACAGTATTTTCCTTGCTATTGTACCCTGGAAATGATGCTACTTAGAAATTGTCTTTCCAGATAATATTTAAAAATGTTAGCTCTTTCCATTGGACCAAATCAACTCTATTCTTCTAGTAACATCTAATCATTACTGAGACTTTTGTGCCAAAAGACACTCTTGCCCTCACTTTTACCTTCCTGTGTAGGCTGAGAAATACCTTCTCTTCTTAAATGTTTAAACTTTTCCTGGGATCATTTTAATATCACTTTTTTCAGTTAGAAATTATGATATATTTGAAAATTAAACTATTTCATCTGTATTAATTGCCTAACATAGCTGTGGTAGAGCTCAGTCACATAGATTGACTGTATCATCTAACATGCTTTTTTTCATTTTTCCCAAGCATATAGAATCACTGCTTTTGTTAAATGTTGTATACTGCTTTTTTAAAAAAAGAAAAAATAATTTCTGCAGGTTCTTCAACTCAGCTTTTTCAAAATGTACCCTTCATAAAGGTACATAAGTACCTGCTTGTACTAATTACCTAGCAGGTAAGTTGAAGTGAATTCCTGTATGCCTGTTGTTGACCTGCAACTTTTACCCAAAAGCAGTGTTTTAATGAATTTGAAACCTGAAGTTTTAAGTTAGACTAATCTTTGTGAACAGGATAACAAAAAGAAGAAAATGCGATTGAGCAACAGATTCTGCTTCAGTTGATGGA